AAAAAAAAATAAAATTAAAATTATTTTATGATAAAAAAACTCCATGATGAAAGGGAAACATAGAAGTGTGTTTTTCATGCTTAAATAGAAAGATAAATTGGTCAATCATGGTTTTAGTAATATTGAGAGACTTTTTTGAAAGATAACTTCAGTAGTAACTGAAACATATGGAGTGCACAATACCTAGTTACCATCTACCCAGAGCTCTTCTCTGCAAAAGACCAAATAACAGAAATTGTCCAGCCTGACACTTTCTCAAGTTGGAAAAATGAACAACTAAAGATAAATTACATGAAGAAAGGCAATATAGAGAGGAAATAGAAGGTAAAAAAGTACTACCACAGGCTGAATCCTAGATCATCTAATTAGGAGTGAGATTACCTATCTCAGTTTTACCAAAAACAGTCCTTTCCATCCATCATACCTGTATATACCTTACTGCTTCAGAAAGTACATGCACAGCTTTAATTCTATTTTTTTCAGATTCATCTCCCATAGTCTGTAGTATGTACATATTATATGTTTCAATCAGAATTATAACCATAATGTACTACTTGGAAATAACAGCATAAAGTTGTTAGTGTATTCTGGCATTAACGGCTTAGTAAAATATTATTTACCTTCCTATATTGGAATATATTAAAAATGCAATGATTTCTAAATGTATTAAGATCATATATCTGTCATTGGGCAACCTTTCAATAGGTGACTATATTCATCAGTCATTAGAATCTCTGCATTTGAAGAGACTTACATTACCTTGTAATGTAACCTACACTTTCTTCTTCCACCTCCTTCATTGTCTCTTTTCAAATCCTCTAGCAAATAATGTTAATGTCACAGAAAATGGCTATGTTGATGTTGAAGAGTTACCTGTTCCTAAAATTTCATCTTCCCCTGAGATGGTTGAGAGGCACATTTCCCTGAAAGGTGGAGCTATTTCCAGAAATTCTCAGACAGGTGGGTGGACAGCTCTGTCTCTTTTTGTGTGCTTACTTGTTATGGGAAAATGAGTTTATACTGACAACTCATCAAGTATTCATTGCTGTAAGAAACTAGGTAGCTTTGTATACTTGGATGGGGTCTACATTTCTTCCTTAAAATTTTATTTTAACTATAGCAACTCTTCCAAGAGAAGAAACATATTTTTTCTGTGTTCATAACTACCTCACTTTAGACAATGACATATGTGTGAACTTTATATTTTGTGACTTTGCTGCTTTTCTTCAAATCCATAACAACACATATGACCTCACTGTGAATATGGAAGCTTTTTCTAATTGTGGGGCATAACTTGTAAATGTTTATAATAGAAAGGCAAATTTAGTCTATGAACCTTAGAAATTTTGTGGAAAACATGTAAAGAAACACTTGAAGTTGACATTTCTCATTATTGTTGCAGAATGTGCAATGGCCTTAATTAAAAAGTGGTAAAAATGTATCAGTGGGAGAAAGCAAAAAAATATTCATTTTCTTTGAACTGGTCCATGACATCACTGCAAGGACTAGGCTTTATGCTCATTTCTGACATGTGGTTCATGAGGAACAAGAAATGGTGGGACTTGATTAATCTCTCATCTTTTGGAACCAGAATAATAGTCACAAACTCTCTGAGGTCATGTGTGGTCTGTCATGAAGTATACAGAAAATATATTTGTCATTAGTCTTTACTTCTTTGGGCTTAATACAAGCCATTTCTGAAAGGAAGTTTCCCTCCTTTTTTTTCATTTCTTGTCATTATTGATTCATATCCTTCTTATCATTAACATCAAAACAATACTTTGAACAGAGAATTCAGTACAAGTTACCACTATGTCAAATTTTACAATAGCTTTCCATGCTTGTGATATTTTATGCTCACTGTACTCATGGTTTCTTCTGAAAAAGTACAACTGACATTGTGTATCACAGAAATAAGGACTCTCTCCAATGTTGCAGGCATGCCGCTTCAATCTCAAAGAGAAACTGCCAACTCCAGCACTGGAAAGAAGACATCTTCACTGTCACTGGGTCAAGAAGATGCTGGATATGATTACGTTGCCCTTAATGACATGTAGTGCCACATTTTTATCAACTAAGTCTACAAATAACTCCTCTGTCATATCATTTCCAAAATAAATATCTGTCATCTTCATTAAGTTTTGACCTGTATACACAACGTAAAGGAAATATGATAGTAAGTCCTCTGTGATTAGAGAGAAGAGTTTATTTTTCCTTAATAATGTGTGTACACTGAACCTGATGGCCTTGGAAAATTCTTTTTCAAAGTGAAAATGGAAAGTGATATCATTTTTGTCATGTGAGATCTCAGTTCAAAATTGATGTCATCTCTCTTGCCAACTACACACTTTCCTTCCATGCTCAAAGTTCACTCTTCCTTTCAAACTCTGCAGGTACACCTCATTGGAGGAATAAGCAGCAGCAATTTTTCCAGTTAGTTCCAGACATAACACACAGTTTTGAGATGTTGTGATTTGTATATTTTATGAGCTATGAAGTGGGTCTTTCTTTACTTGTTTGCTAGATGCAATGTTGCCTTTAAAATCTGAAATTTTACCTTCACTTTCATTCAAATTTTGTCCACTATTAATGCAGCTTCTAATTTCTTGTTTATCTTTTGAATTTGCTTCATGTATTCTATTTCGTTCTAATACTAATGATTCAAGGTTTCTATCATTCATTTATTCTCCTCTATTTATTTTTTCTGTATTTAGGGCAGTGCCTACAGGGTCCTACTATGTAAATCAGACTCATGGTGATTCTTCTGTTTTCAGCCTCCCAAGCACTGGGCTTACAGGTGCACGCCATCACATCCAGTCTCAATCCCAGTCTCAGTGCACTGTGGAGGCAGGGCTGGCATGGTACACAGGGCATCAAACCCCAGTTGCTGTGTTCTACCAAAGTAGGTGCTTTATTCCACTGAACTTTCAGGCCGTCCCTCTTCCATTTTGAAATGAATATCTTCTTTACAAATGCTTAGTAATTCTTTAAATATAGTTATCATTTTGTTTTTTACCTGGGAGAATATTCCTTATATGATTTCCTTTATACCTTTTTTAAGTTGTTTCTTTACTTCAAAGCTATATTTCAGAGATTTCAAGTGCAAGGCTTCCAATTGCTTCTATGCTTATGTCTTCTGAATTTGTTCTGAGTGTGCTTGGGGCCTAAGATCTTATTTTGCTACTTTGTTTAGTCATTTTGTATTTGAGAAAAAACTATTTTGATTTCTGTGATACTTTTTGTGAATGTTTGATAGTAGGTAGCTGCATCACTGCTGTTAAATCCTCTCTGTAAAGTTTCTGTTCTTTAGATATCTTTTCTGTGTCAAAGATTCTTGTTCTGTGTGTGTACCAAGTTTGTGCTTTCTTCACTGCTTGGGAGTAAGATATTGGATTCTGTTTGATGCTGTCTTCAAACATTCAGTATAGGGATCTGGTGTGGTTTTTAGCCAAGTGCCTCTTCATATCATCATTTAAAGGAGAATGAGTAATTAAAGTGGATATGGTATCTTAGGTACAGTAGTACAATTAGAAATATTGATAGTCGCATGTGAACTTTAGAAATTGAGAAATTTTGTTAACTGTATGGTATTTTAGACCATAGGAGCAAACATTAAATCTGTATAATAAATCCTATACTAAATTGGGAATTCATATGTAAACTGATTTGCCTGAGTTTGGTCTGGGCATCTCTTCCTCACATACCTGGAAACTTCCAGGCAGACTAGTTCACTTCAGATTCCTCCTGCCACCTTCAGGCTGTGAGGATCATCCTGGTAGGTCTGGGTCTACATCTGGACCCCACTAATCCTAGCAGAATTCCTCAGCTCATTGTGTTCAGCCACAGGCCTAATCCTCACCTCCTGGGTCCATGGAGATGAGTTTGATTCACTGGTTCTGGCTGCCTCTACTGTTCCACACCTCCACCTTTGACCCACTGTACTTGTCACCTCTACTGTTCTATAGCACCACGCTGCTCATTCCTATTGTGTGTTCTGTATATTATTTACTCTTTTATTTCCTTATACTAGGGAGTCAATACAACGTTTTCACTTTTAAATCTGATTTATTTCACTTAGAAGTATGGCCTCCAATTGCATCGTTTTACCTATAGACTCTCAGGTTTATCCTTCTTTATTACTGAGTAATACTACATTGTATGAAAATAACACATCTGAGGACTTTAAGAAATTAACATAGACAGAAGAATACAGGTACCTGGCACATCCCTGTAGGCTTCAAGATGGAATACCAGCTGAAAAAGCACTTGAGATTCAACTGACAGCTATGTCAGAGGAACCTAGGTGCTTTATCCATCCCACCACACCACATGAAAAATCTGAAACCTAGCAATTGGCCTGGCCAAAGAAACAGAGTGTACATCCTCTCTAACAAGGAAAAACACTGTACACAAACTCTCAAGTTATGATTTGTTCTGTTACTCAACTACAGACGTTGCTTGTATGGTCTAAAATGCCAAATTAATAGTTACCCATGTTTTTTTATTTCTAAATTTTGCTTGGAGGCTGGGGAGATAACTCAGTAGAATAAAGGATTGCCTGGCAAGTGCAAAGTCCTGAGTTCAATCCCTGGTACTTCAAAATAAATAAATAAATAAACAAACAAACAAACAAATAAATAAATAATTTTTTCTTGATGTTATTATTACTAATTGTACTACAATAGCCATATATGACAAAACAACAGCCAATATCATTATAAATGGACAAACAATGAAAGATTCACTCCAAAATCAGGTACAATGCTTGGATTTTCATGGTCATCACTCTTATTAAATAGGCCAGATCCAGCATCTTTTTTTTGAGGGTGGGGGGTATGGGGATTGAACTCAAGCCCTTGTGCTTGCCAGGCAAGTGCTTATTCTACTGAACCATCTCCTCAGCCCCACCACTCCTATTCAGTGTAGTTCTGGAAAAATTAGCCAGAGCCATTAGAGAAGAGAAAGAGGGCCGGGGAGATGGCTCAGTTGATTAAGTGCTTCCCTGGCAAGCGCAAGGGCCTGAGTTCAAACCCTGGTTCTGAAAATAAATAAATAAGTAAATAAATAAGAGAGAGAGATGAGAAAGAAATATTAGTAATAAGAATTGGAAAGGAAGATGCTAAATTATCAATATTCAGAAATGACGTGATCATCTACATAGAAGATAAAAATAAAACAAAAAAATTTATGAAGGATCACCTATAATTAATAAACAAACTCAGTAGCATAGTAGGATATAGCATCAACCCTCAAAAAGCAATAGAATTCCTCTACACAAACAAAAAATTCACTGAGACAGGAATTAGGGAAACAAGACTACAATATCATAAAAAATGAATATTTAGGAATTAATTTAACAAAGGCAGGAAAAATGAAAATTACAATAACCTGAGGAAAGAGCGATCAAAAACGATTTCAGAAAATGGGAAGACATTCCTTGCTCATGGATGAAAAGAACCAACATTGTGAAAATGGCCATATTCCCAAAATTGTTATTTAGATTTAATGCAATACCAATTAAAATAACATAGACACACCTTACTTATTTTAAGAAAACATTTAGAAAATTAATTTGGAAGCAGAAAAGACTTAGAATTGCAAAATTAATCCTGGCCAAGAAAGGCAAAGTAAAAGGCATCATAATCCCTGACTTGAAATTATACTACAAAGCTACAGTGATAAAATCAGCATGGTTTTGGTAAAAGCAAAACAGGTCTGTGGATCAATGGAACAGATTAGAAAATGCAGACACAATCAAAAACACACCTATCATCTTATCTTAGACAAAGTAGCCAAAAATTTTCACTGGAAAAAAACATGACCTCTTTAATAAATGGGCCTGGAAAGTATGGCTTTCCACATAAAAGAAATTAAAATTAGATCTAGATCTATCACACACTAAACTAAATGGATTGAACATCTCAATATTGAAACAGAAGCACCAAATCTTTTGGAAAAGAAAATATGTATAAATCCTGAAGGCATATTGGTAGGCAGAGTTCATCAAAACCAAACTGCAGGGCCAGCCAGATAGTTTACTGGAATAATGTGCCTGCTTAGGTAGAGCACAACAATAGCAAGCATACTTAGGCAGAGCACAGCAGCTGTCATTGAATAACTGGCCTGCCATGCTGGCCTCACACCCAGAGGGTGCTGAGATGGAAATTGACACAAGGCAGGATGGAAAGCGCCTGTAATTCCAAAGCTTGGGAGGCTGAAACAGGAGGATCACTACAAGTCTGAGCTCCATAGTGAGACCCTGTAGACACTGCACTAAATACAGTAAAAAAAAAGATAAAAGAAAACTGCATGAAAACTACTTCAAAGTACCAACATAAATACCAATGAAACAGTTTCAAAACAAGTCATTAGGAGAGTTACAATAATTAATACATTGCATATCGTTATCTTTGAAGTGGTTATTCATCATACAAGATACAGACATAATATCCTGTCCAAATACTATTAGCAAAAATCTTTCTTTTTTGAATTAAGAGAAAGTAGCAATATATCTATTCTAACCATTTTGCATATGCAGATACAAAATGGCCTTTCATTTGTATACCTTTTTTCTTTAGTTTTGTTAGAGATGAGTATTGCATTTACATTTAAATATTGTAGGTGCATCAATTCAGTAAAGTAATCTAATATCGTCCAATAGTCCATAATAGTAATTGGTTATCCATAGGACTGGCAATATCAGAAGTTGTTCACTTGAGCCTTTTTCAGCTCAGTATATTAATATGGCTTCAATTTTTATACCTTGTGTTTATACTTTTCTGCTGGATGGTTAGGCCCAAGATAAAACAAGACCTATGTAACAAGAAATGTAACTTTTGTACCTGCCAAGGTCAGTAGGAATTCTCAGGATTTCGCCTGATATCCTGTATGACAGTTTGCAGATCTTTTGTCAGTTTCAGCCATGTGGAGGAGTCCTGGCCATTGCTTGACCAATTTGCTGTCTGTGAAAGCCTGACACAATGATTTCTCTTTATTTGACTCTCCTTAGATACATGCTACATTATCAATTACTTTCCCCTGTGGCCCCATAAACATG